CAACGGGCTGAAGGGGCAGCTCTGCTCTGACACCTGGAACACCTCCTTTTCCTGACCTTGGTGTCTGCAGGACTGTTTCACACCTTCCTCAGTTCTCTCACAGCTGCTGCACAGCATTTTTTACCCTTTCTTAAATACGTTTCCCCAGAGGCACCACCAGCTTGGCTGAAGGGCTCCACTTTGGGCAATGGTGGGTTCCTTTTGGAGCCAGCTGGAAGCAGCTCTGTGCACTGCAGAGGTAGCCCCAGTCTACTCACAGAGGCCACCTCCACAGCACCCATCCAACCCCACTGCCAACATCTTGCCAGTAAACCCAGTACAGTGTATTTTGTGCTTTTCCACAGCAGGTAATCAGAAATTGGGAAATCCTTGTTCTCCCACGTGAGGGGAACAGCTCAATAGTCAAGCTTTGCAAAACTGTCCCTTAAGCTGAGAAGAGGATGTATTTATTAGACAGAAGTGTGCTAGGCTGAGCACACTTACATGTTATTCCTCCTGAAGACTAAATTAATCCTGAACTAGACACATCTAATCTGTCACTAAACTAAATTCTTACCTCTCTGCAGTCAGATGTGTACTAGCTAGCTGTAGGTAAATAACTGCAGAGTCTTTGGGAGGCATTATAGGAAGAGGTCCTTGGTCCCCACAGTATTTAGTGAAAAGCAGAGACTGTCCAAGTCTTCTATCTCCTGTACTCTGTAGTTCTGCAGCTTTGGTACAAGATGGAGGGGGACATTCTTTCTGTATGAAAGCAAACCCAGATTGCACCATTTCTCTGAGGCCAGAAGATGAGTCAGCAGTGAAGAGTTAAAAGCCACATAATGGTATTCAGTTACTTCACTGCCACAGTCCAGCACTTGGAAACTGCCTCTGCCAGACCATAAATCCATTGACATTCATGATTATTTCAGGAATTAGTTATTCTGGAAATTAACAGAGACAACATCCACAGCCATCATTTGATTTTATTCATTCATAGACAGTGTTCCCTTAAAATTGGCACCATGCATCAGAAAGCATCACCATCAGTGACATGTAATTCTTACCCACCTCAGCTTCCATAGCAAGTTAATCTGCTGAGCTTGAAAACTGTGAAGTGGCAAAATCCCACCTTCTTCCTTAGCAAAACAGCAACCCTTGTGTTGATAAATAACTGCATACAGGACAAGGCAAGGTAGAGAAAGCAGCAATAAACTCTAACCCCACAAGGATACTTACTAATGCCTAACTCAAATGGTATGTTAATCACATTAATACCTCCAGTGAAACTAGAGGCATCAAGTCAAAAATATGCCTGGACTTTGGTTTACAACTTTTTTTTCTCAATTAAAGCAACTTGTGTCTTCATTTCAGATGCCATCTCAGGAAAAAGCACACTGAAATGATTTAGAGTTGTAATTCTGGATAGTTACAAGCTATCATATGTAGTTATCTTCACAGTGAGTGTTCAGAATTACCAGCATTTCCTGGATTGGGAACACCTATCTCTCTACTCACTGTACCAAAACACCTTCCAGCTCAAAGCCCTATTTCCCTTTCTTTACTCTCCCCTTTCTCTGCAGGGAAGGGAATCAGGATGTTTCCTAGAGCATATTCCAAACGGTCTATGGAGTTTAGACCCTGCCTTTTCTTCTCCCCATGGACAGATGAGCTTGTAACCCTTTTTCTCCTGAAACAATAGGAAGGTGCAAGAAAGCAATGACTTGATGGGTTTATGAGAGGAAGGAAATGAAGTAACAATGATAAATTACACACACACAAAAGCTACTGGATTCTTCATTCTAGTCATGAAGGGAGCAACTTTGTTTTGCCTGCAGAACATGAACAGTGCCTGAGTCAACAAGATCGAGTACTTCAGTGAAAATTCCTTTTTTGGTAACTAGAGAGTATGACTTGGTGCATTGTTAGTAAGTGATGCAAAGCAACAGCCAGAAAGGGTCACTGCAAGCAAGGAGCCAAGTAAACATGTTTCACACCTTCCACATGTCACTGCTACCTTGACTGCAGCAGTAACAGGTGATTAACTGAGTAGGAAAACTTCAGGCTAAAGATGTCACCTAGTAAAGCCAGCTTCTTCTCTACAGGCCTGCAGCTGAGAGCCTGTGATTTTAGTTTTTCTCTCTTGCTCTTCTATATCACTGGTATATCATTTTCTGAAAGGTAAATAATGCTGAAGAAGTTTTTCTTTGCTGTGTACCACATACAGCTGCAGTAAAAGCTACACCTCCTAAGCAGCCTGTAAAAACAAAAATATATCCAACTGGTTCCAGCTCAGAGAATTACAAACTCCTCCACTTTGAGCCAAAGCCAAAACTGTATCTCTGAGAAGTTAGTACAGTAGCAAGTATCTTTGTTCAGCTGTTTGCATTTTGAATTAGAGGGAGATACTCTGAGATGGGCACTTTGCAGCTCACATGACCTTCAACAGCTCAAGTTCTAACTGTTTATGTGTAAAGTTGTCAAAGCAGCTTAAAAACATTGCAAAATCCTCCTGGGTTAGTGGTTTAGATCATGTTAAGTTCTCACATAGTGCACTTGGAAACTACAGGGTTAGTTCTGTAAGAACTGCCTCTGGCTAGAGGAGGCTGGAATCTGAGATCTGCACAGTTCAGACTTGCAAAAGCTTTTGTACTCCAGATGTTGAAGAGGCAATTCACACAAAGCAATAATGAGCTATGCAAGTGGGTTTGTTTTGGTTTTACTGTTGGTGCTCCTGCCATTAGCAACATAAATATTCCTAGGAGCATTACATAGCATTTGCTTTCAGTCAGTGTGCTTGTTTTAACATACTATATGGTCCTTAAAAGCTGAAAGAATGAATGATCAAGTCCTTGCACTGCATCAGATAAATGCAGCTCCTTGATAAGGGTAGAAAGACTTGGGCCAACACTTGCCATGGCAACAATCATCCCAGGGGTGCCTGTGTGTGTGTTTGAAGAACACTACAGATGGAGTAGAAAGCTTCCATTTTAATACAACCCTTTCTCTTTACTCACAGAATAGTTTGTTTTCTTCTGAAGGAAGCCTGACAGTGCTGCAAGCTACAGGCATTCTTCCCTGTGAGAAATTAGGAAAGAATCCATCCTCCCCCTGTCTGGAAAAGTGTGCCACCCCCTCTCCAGCAAACACTCAGAGATGGGAAACAACAGAAATCCAGAAAATAAACACCAAAGTTTTTCTTAGCTGTCTACTTATTTGTAATTCCATTACTGAAGAGACAGGCAGAGAACTACCAAACTTGTGTCCATCAGTGCCTTTAATCACACTTGGATTTAGGCTGCTTTTCATCAGAAGTGATTTGCTGCAGCTCCAGCTGGCTAAGTCACATCCATGAAGGGAAGGCAAAAATAAGCCTGTGAAGGTGAAATTTGCAGATAAAAGCAAGAGCACTACTCCCAGGTACTAGTGACATTTGGAGTGAACAGACTCAGCTGGCAGGTCAGAACAGAGCCCACTGACCATGACACTTGGTCTTGTCAGTCCACCTTCAGCTTTTCCTCCAGCTGCTCAGGGCAGTGGAGGCACACAGCTAATGGATTCCTGTCTCAGCAGAGGCAGGGCAAGCACTGTGGGCTCCACTCTGGGCTTTTCCCTCCTCCTCCTCCTCCCACTGCTTGCCTCCCCTGCCCCATGTGTTCACTTGGTCACCAGAGCTTCTCTTCCTAGGTGGCACTGACATCAGGTCAGACACATTTACCTGTATCTGCTTAGCTGCTTCCAGTCTTAAGCAAGAACATAATAACTTACTAAAATTCTTTAGGAGCAAGCAAATAAAAAAACCCAAAAGCCACACCTATGAACAAACAAATTTGGGCTCTTTTCCTTCAGCAACTGGAGTCTGTATTTTGACACCAGCTGCCTAACACTGCTCATCCTCTACACTGCTGAGGAGAAGCCTTGCTGGAAGCTGGTCACACTAGCACTTCAATAGACTGTAGAAAACATTATGGACAATTCTGATAAGGATTAAAAACTTTGCCCTCTAATACAGCCTGTCTTGGGAAGTTTCTAACCCCACAGATATTAATTTTAGAGCATATGCATATGACATGAGTCAATAGTGTCCTGCTGCTTTCCCCTGAACACAGGGGCAACAAAATCCAGGGTCTCTTACATGTAGCTCGAGTACAGCTTGGGATGTAGGCTCATTTTGTAACTGAGCAGTAAAACCTACAGCAGTGGTGGTTTAACCCCTGAAGGAAGCTTCAGCAGGTTGCCTGTAGGCCATATGCATGGAACTATGGCAAATGATTCAATACTTCAGAGAGGAGTGGACATCAGACCCATTAATAGAAATATCTCAGGTTTGATAGATCTGGCAGGAGATGTGCTACCCTGAACTTTCTGTAGGTTCAAAGAAAAATATAAAGAGCAATAACAAAATGTTTTTATTTGTTTTAAAAGAAGTAAGGCTATGTCTTAAAGTATTGCTTTGTAGCTGCATGTCCAATTAGACTTCATGAGAGTGGTCAGCCCCTGAACCAGGATTCAGTTGTGTTGTGTAGTTCCATCCTTAGCAGGAGTAAAGAAGAACACTTCACCCTTTTGTACCTCACTGCCAGCTGGGCGTTTAAACCAACACTTTAAGGATTAAAACAAAAAAAAACCACCATCCCTCCCACCTTATAGCCCAGTCTGTTCAGAAGACAAGTAGACAGCCATGAAAACAACACCAACCAAACCACGGTTTGAGCAGTGCAAGAAGCATTCCACTGGTTACAAAGTGTGCAAGTTTCCAAGCACACTTATTCTCTATTTTGAGTTGGGACAAAAACCTCTCTCTCCTTTTGCCAGATTCTCAGACATTAGGCACTCCTCCTTTTGCTGTGTTAAGAGTTTATGAACATCAAACACTTATTTTATGATTACAAAGCATGCCCAAACTGGAAAAATGTTAGTTCTCACCAGTGGACATCCCCTGCTATAACTTTGTTACAATCCAAACCAGGCAAGAGAATGTCTTTAGGCAAAAGGAGCTGACAGGAGGAGCTCAGCTGTGCTCACTGCTCACGCCTTGGCCTCGTGCAGGAGCCATCTTCATCATACTCCCCCATCAGCTGCAGCATGTACGTCCCAGTGTAGAGAAGGAACTGTCCAGTTATTTGTGCTGCGTGGGACATCAGCTGAAGCACCTTCCTAGAAGAAAAGCCATTTGTTTGAAAAGGAAAAAATCACCAGCAGGATGACATCACCCCTTTCACCCCACCCACAAGACCTTTAGGACGAGTTCAGTGGATAGACTTAAGAATTCTCTCATTCCTTCTTATTTCTCAGAAGCTGGGCATTTTTGTACCTTCTTCAGACAAAACACTTCTGTGGCCACTGATTAACAGAAAACTACTGACATGTTGGCAGAGGCAGAAAACACATGGAGCAAAGCAGGCTGCCATCCTGCTAGACACTCCCAGGCCTTCTGCAAAGCCATCACCCAAACTACCAGAGCACCACTGAAGACAGCTTTGCC